GCTGCCGCTGCCACCGCTGCTGCTGGAGTTGCGGGAAGCCAGCCAGGCCAGGAAAACATCCCTGCAAAGGAGGTAGAAAGCGTATGTCAAACATGAGGCAGGACTGCGGGAGGGGGAGATGAGGGCGGTTTTGGGGGCAGCTCCTTCTCGTGCTAGCCGTAGGAAGTGATGCCAAGACAGCCCCACTAGTGCTGCTATGGGCATTAGCCGGGTAATTCTGCCTTCCAAGGAAGTGCTAGGCTGTGCCAAGAAGGCCTAGCCAAGGCAGGCCAGAGTCTTGCCCCCCAGCTCAGGATCAGCTGGATACCGTGTTGGGGTCAGGAAGGAACTGTATCCTGGGATCAGGCCAGCACACTGTGGGGTTTCAGCTTTGTCTACAGGGGAAGAAGGGGGCACAACATCTGCCTAAGCTCTTCTGAGCATGACTTAATGAAGTCCTTACAATGGCAAGGCCTGGTCCTCACTGCCCGAGGGCAGGTCAGGGTGTTTGATGCCCCGCGGCTGGGGTTGTGCACGAGGGCTGTGTGCAGGTTGGAATGAGCCGGACACTGTGGCTGGGGAGGGTCCAAGCAAAGCTGAACCTAGCTGTGGCAAGGCACACCCGGACTTCCCCGCAACCCCGTCCCCACCCCCACTCACCGGCAGTGCTTGACGACGCACTCACTGCTGCAGTACTCGTTGTCCCAGTCGCTGCTGGCCACAGGTGGGTTCTCGCAGCCCAAGCGCACACAGCGTGGCCGCGGTGACTCGGCCATTGGGGACCCGGTCACCAGCTCCACAGCCATCTGCGTTGGGGACTCAACCTGCAGGCGGGAGGGGGATCAGGGAAAGGTTATGCCCAGCTGTACCCCGTGTCTGCTCCATCTTCTGGACGCAGACAAGGCTGTAAGCTCACTGGTTCTCAGCCTCTGACAACAGACCAGGAGTCAGGACCCGGCTCCCCCCACCCAGCCATGTACTCACCTCAGGCACCACATCAGCAGTAACCATCTCCATGGGCTCAGGGGAACCCTGGGGCTCAGGACTGGGCCGCTCGGGGCTGGCCTCCTCAGCCTGCAGGGTGACCGGCTGGATCTGCAGGGCAGGTGGGGGCAGGATCTTGATCTGCAGCGGTGGGGGCTGCTGCTGTAGGTTGAGCCGCACCTTCTGCTGCAGCGGGGGCTGCTGCATGGCCTGCAGGGGTGGTGGGGGCTGCAGCTTGGCCACCTGCTGTGTGGGGGGCTGGGGTGGGGGCATCTGCTGCAGGGGTGGGGGCTGCAGCCTGGGCAGCTGCATGGAGGAGGCAGCCGCAGCTGCAGCAGCTGCCGCCTGCAGCACGGAGCGAGTGACGATCTGGGTGGTGCCAGTGCCAAGCTGCAGCCCACGGGAGGTCACCACGGTGGCGGGGATGACCGTGACCACACCACCCTGGGACACAGCCAGTGAGGACGGCAGCATCTGCTTGGGAATTATGATCTTGGTGATGCTGGTCTGGGGGGCAGGCGTGGGGACAGCTGGGGCAGGCTGTGGAGTTGGCGAGGAGATGCCCCCAGAGACGGTGGCGGTTGGCGTGGCCGTAAGCGGGGTCTCCTGTGCAGGTGAGGGGGCCAGGGCAGCAGTCAAGGAAGCAGCAGGAGTAGAAGCCTGCACGGACTGGGAGGCAGGAGAGGGTGGCGTTGGGCTGGGGTCCAGCTCCGTTTCCAGCGTCTGCACGGAGAGAGAATGGGGGATGAGACAGACGTACAAACAGATACACAAGACCCTGGCGCACCCGCGGACAAGAGAGCTGAGCCCCGGCCAGCTGGCAGAGGCCCAGCCCCCTTACCTGACACACCTGGATGGCTCGGTAGGCTGCCAATGCCTTCAGGTACTCCTTCTTGGCTGCCTCTGTCTTCCGCTTGTAAACCTTGGGGGAAGGAGGACTAGGTCAGCAGCAAGCCCCAGCCCTGCTCTCATTCCCCCCACCAGCTTCTGTTCCCCCTGCCCTGTGTCCTCCCAGCCGCGCCCACCTGCTTCTGCTCCTCGCCCAGGCTGTCCCACATGGACGCCACGATCTTGGAGACCTCCCCAAAAGTGGCGTTGGGGTTCTGCCCCTTAATGGCGGCCTGCGTGTCACGGAAGAAGAGCGCGTAGGCCGACACCGGCTTCTGCGGCTCGTTCGGGTCCTTCTTCTTCTTCTGCTTCTTAGCAGGCTTCGGCTTCCGCCCCGCGTCCAGCACCAGCGTCGCCTTCTGGGCCGGGGCCTGCTGTGGGGGCGAGAAGAGGGGGCACAGTCAAACTGCAGTCTGGAGCCAGGGGTTTGCCCATCCGTGGTGGAGCTGTTCTCGGGTGTCAGCAAGAGGTAGCCTGGGACTGGGATGACTAGAGGCCACGGGGCACAGCTGGAAAGCGCAACAGGGCCAGGCAGGAGCACGTGGCCACTTCTTGCCAACAAACATGGAACCGCCAGCGGCCTCGGCCCCAGCTCCTGCTGACAGGGCAGCGACCGAACGCGGCAGGTGTGACCTCAGTGGGCTAGGGACGCAGAGCAGGGGGAGGGGGGAAGAGGTGGGAATCAACTACCCGAGCAATGCAGGAGTCGGGCTCTCACCCGTCTGAACTCCTCAGCTTCCTCCTCCTGCAGCGAGCTGGTGGGGGAGGGCGTGGTGGACATCCGCTCCTCAGGCGACGCCGCCGTGGCGGGGGCGACAGCCGGGGGGGCGGCGGCGGCGGCGGCAGCAGCGGTGGCAGAAGGAGCAGCGGCCGGGGGCAGAATGGCGCTGCCCCCCAGGCTGAGGCCGAGCTGGGAGCTCAGCTCCGACTGGTCGATGGTGGTGAGCTGCCCGTGTCCCATGAGGCTGCCCGGGCTCATGGCGTTCATGGGCACGTCGATGGTGACGGGCGGGTTGGCGTTGTACTGCGCGCCCATGGAGTGCTCCAGGTCCTGGGGGCAGACGGCGCAGGCTGGGGCGGGGGGGCCGGCCGGCACCGCCAGCAGCACCGCTCCCTGCCCTGCGCGCCCGGCCCGGGCGGCCCCCCAGCACACACTTACCATGGACAGCCCCCCGGGCAGCAGCCCGCCGCCCTGCTCCATGAGGCCGTGGCTCATGGCCACGGGCATGTCCAGGGCCTGCACGCCGTACTGGGCGGAGAAGCTGGCGTCAGGGGCGCCGCCGGGGTCGCCCAGGTCGTCGAAGTGCCCCACCACGTCGGCCACGGCCAGCGACGGGTCCGCGTCCAGCGCGATGGGCGGGATCTCGAACTCCTCGTCGCCCAGGCTCGGCGTGTGGAAGGTCTGCGGGGACGGGGATGGGGACGGGACCGTGAGCCTGCGCCGGGCCCCCCGCACCCGCCACCCTCCCCGCCCCGGCTCCCCCCTCACCTCGGCGCCCGTCAGGAAGGGGTGCGTGGCGCCCGTGATGGCCAGGTAGTTGTCGCTCCCGCCCGGGAACTGGGGAGGAAGCAGGGATATGTGACGGGCTTCACCGGGCGGGGCACGGACCCTCTCCCCCTCCCCCACCCCACCCGTTCCCCTCCTGCACCCCCACCCCCACCCCCACACCTGTGCTCCCGGCCCCGGCACCTCCATGGCCGCGTCCCGGCCGCCGGCGCCGACCGACCGACCAACCGATCTCCAAGCACCGCCTCCCCCACCCCCTCCGAGTCCTAAGGAAGGAACCGGAAATCCCCCTTCGTGCGTCACTTCCGCCTCCCCGCCTCCAAACTCGGGCTCGAACTCGAGGCCCTAAGGGGAGGCTGAATGTAGCCGCCCCCCATAACCGCCCGTAGGAGGAGTAGGCGGGGAGGCCTCCAGGCGGCCAGCGCGGCCCCAGGAGGGGGGTAGAATGGCACCGGAAGTGCGGGCCGCGGAGCAGTAAAGGCGCCGGGAGGCTGCGGCTGGGCTAGAGCGTCTTCCCGGAAGTGAAGCTGAGTTGGGGGGGTAGAGCGGCCCTGGGAGGACCGCACAGGACAGGGGCATCATGTCTTACACCTATCTCTTCAAGTACATTATCATCGGGGACACCGGTACGGGGCGGGGCCCGGGGCCGGGAGCGGGCGGCTCCGACCCCGGGCCTAGCCCTGACCCCGCTCGCTGCCTGCAGGCGTCGGCAAGTCCTGCTTGCTGCTGCAGTTCACGGACAAGCGCTTCCAGCCCGTGCACGACCTCACCATCGGTGATGGGGGATGCGGGGGTCTTGGGGTGGTGGGGGAGGGGCTGTGGGCTGGGGAGGGGGGTTGTGGGGCTGTAGACGGGTGGGGGAGGGGATGAAGTCAGGGTGCTGTGGGGATAGGAGGGGTGTCCGGGCCGGGGGTCCTGACGGAGCCTGACCCCGCAGGCGTGGAGTTCGGGGCGCGGATGATCAACATTGACAACAAGCAAATCAAGCTGCAGATCTGGGACACAGTGAGCAGGGCTGCGGGGGTGGCCAGTGTTTGAGTCTGTGAAGCCGGGCAGGGCCCGTGGGGTGGGGGGAGCGGGGCTGCCTGGCGGGGTTAAGCAGCACTGGGTCAAGCCAGGGCCACGAACGAGATCCCTGACCCCTCTGGCACTGCGCTCCGCAGGCCGGGCAGGAGTCCTTTCGCTCCATCACGCGCTCCTACTACCGGGGGGCGGCTGGGGCTCTGCTGGTCTACGACATCACCAGGTGAGGCCCGGCTCCTGGGGTGGGAAGGCTTCCCCCTGCACCTCGTTCCCTTCCTGGGGGAGCCCTGGTGCTGCTGCCGCCCCCTTCTCATGGCAGCCCCCACCCAGGCGCGAGACCTTCAACCACCTGACCTCATGGCTGGAGGATGCCCGGCAGCACTCCAGCTCCAACATGGTGATCATGCTCATCGGCAACAAGAGGTGACAGGCGGGAGGGGGACCCCTGAGGCAGTGGGGGGCTAGGAGGGGCGGAGCCTACAGGGAGGTTGCTGGTTATAGGATGCAAGGGCTTGGGTATAAAAGGGAGAGGCCTGAAGGGGGGAGCAAGGTGGTGGCGGTAGGGAGAACCTCTGGATGTCGCCCTGGCTCTAGAGGCTGGATGCAGGCCCCGCAGATGTGCGGTGGGACTTAAGCTGGCCTTTGGGTGGGTATGGGGTCCCAGATGGGTCCTGGCCATGATGCTTCCCCCTCCTCCCTGTGTGCGTCTGCAGCGATTTGGAGTCACGGCGGGACGTGCGGAAGGAGGAGGGCGAGGCCTTTGCACGGGAGCACGGGCTGGTCTTCATGGAGACCTCTGCTAAGACAGCTACCAACGTTGAGGAGGTGACTGGGGTTGTGGGGAGGGGGGCGGGAGGAAGGGGTGAGGAAGTGCTCTTCCTTACCTCTCGCAAAGGAGTGGGTCCTGGCTGAGCCCAGGTGGGGATGTGGACCGTCCAAATCCTAGAGCACCCCAAACCCTTGACAAATGGGGTCCCGGAAGGAGTGGGGCCACTAACCCTTAACTTCCCCCATCCACCTCCACTTCACCCTGGGCTCTCTTCTTTCAGGCCTTTATTGACACGGCCAAAGAGATCTACAGGAAGATCCAGCAGGGGCTGTTTGACGTGAACAACGAGGTGAGTTAGGAATCCAGTCCTGGACACCTGGATCCCATTCTCCCTCCCATGGTGGGGCCTTGTGGGGGTGAGCAAGGTATGCTGCTGTCCTTAACACTTGGGTCCCTTTTCATAAGGGCTGGCTGATTTATCTGGGCCTGGCACCTACCCTGGGCACCCTAGTTTTATTGATTGCTGTGCCCCTATTAATGCTCTCTCTCACCCTCTTCCTTGTTCTCTTCCAGGCAAATGGCATCAAGATTGGTCCCCAGCAGCCTTCGGGAGTGGCTCCTGGTGCTGGCTCTCGCCATGGCCCCCAGGGCTCCGGGGACAGCTCAGGCTGCTGTTGAGCCTCTGGGGCCAGGACCAGCTCGCTCTAGCCCCTGGCAGGGGAGACAGCTCCTCGTGGGGGACCATAGGGGGTGGCTGGGCTGGGTAATTTCCCCCCCCCATGTCTCAGCAGCCCCCCCATCTGGGCCCTGAAAAAAGGGGCAAGGACCAGGCACCCCTTAGCCTGTGCCTGGGGGAGACTTTTTGGGCTCTGCCTCAACCACACATTCCTCCTGGCTGGCTGTGGGTTGCGGACGGGACAGAGCCCAGGGCTAGGGCCTCCCCTTGTCAGTGCCTTCCCCCCCCCCAGCTGTCTCCCTTGCTGCCTGGGACCCAGTTGGGTCTGGCTGGGTCCCCCGTGTCCCGCAGGGTCCTGGCCAGGTGCCCGGCCCTTCCCTGCACCCGTGTCAGCTTTTATACTGTACTTGTTCTCTGTGGTTTCTCCTGGTATTAAATGTCTGCATGTGTTCGGCTCTCCCCATGTGTTGCTCTCCATGGGGGTGGAGGGACTGGGGAAGCTGCTGCAGTGTGTGTCTGGGAGTGACCTGGGAATGTCTTGGCTCCCAGATCCCTCCCCAATCAGGTCTGCTAGGCCCCAGCCCCCTGCTGGAGCCCAGGATACAACCCAGGAGCCCTGTTTCCTGTCCTGCTCCTAGAGAAGGAACGACTTTCTTATCAGCATCCCTTCCACACTGGGTGGGTGCTTTTGTGGTCTCCAAGGGGAGTCCGGCTCCTTGCTCCTAGTTGCTAGGTGATTTATGCCTCTTGGGCAACTCCTAGCCCCTTTTGGAAGCAGCTGAAGCAGCACCAGGCCCATGGCTCTGCAGGCCCCCAAATGGGATTGTGTGACAGCACTGGAAGGGCTGCCCACGGCGCCCAGGCCCTGTGGGCACTGAGGAATCCCAACCTCGGTGATCATGGCTCATGAGTCACAGATCACCCCTCTGAGCTCCTTGTGATGCCCAAAGCTGCTGCCTGGCTCCTCTGAGCAGCCCCATGGTGAGGGGGCTAGCAAAGAGCTGTCCAGCTGCGAGGCTAGGAGTTGGAGTCACAGTTGCCTTTAACCCCCTTGAGGCAGCTCATCCATGGGGGCCAGGGCTGGGAAGGGTTTCTGGGTTAGGCCAGTGCTTGGCTCATGGAGGGTGGCTTTGCTCACACAGTCCCCTCTGCTCCCTGTGGCTGTCCTTCCTTTGCTGCCCCTGTCAGATGGGGACCAGGACTGGGCCAGCCCCTTTCTCCTCCAGTCCTTGAGAACCTGCCAATCCCCAGTCAGATCCTTATTTGTGGCCAGTGGACTGGAACCTGCTGTCTTGGGTGTTCAGGTAAGTGCTGTTACCCCCTGGGTAGCTGTTCTTTGCTCGTACTTCCTCTTTGTTCCTCCTGCATTCAAGGTCACCAATCTCTGCACCTAGAACAGGCCCCTCCGTGGGCTCTGATCTGGGTTTGTGTCTAGGCTGAGTTCATCTTGGGTTTTGCCCAATGTGACTGTCTTATGAATAGGCCTTGGCTGGTGAGCTGCTTGGGGGCAGAAAGGAGAGTAGCTATGCACTTCTGTTCAGTATCTGGCATGATGGAGCTGTAGCTGACAGCAGGCTTGGGTGTTACTTCAACGCAGGCATTGGCCATAGCAGCAAGGGTTTCAGCCCCAGCCATGGGCGGTTTAACCACCTAGAATTGAGTCTTGTCAAATGAACCTTGGTTCTCTGAACTAACATTTCCTCCTGAAAAGCTTTGATGTGATTGGGGTGGGGAGGTTTTCCCTTTTTTGAGGCTAAACAGCTGCTGCTTGTTTTTTAGTTTGGAAATAAACGTTAACATTCTCAGGTTTATTTATTCCCTTTTA